ATATTGGCCTGCAATTCTCTTTCTTTGTGGTGTCTTTATCTGGGTTTGGGATTAGGGTGATGCTGGCTTCATAGAAAGAGCTTGGAAGTGTGTCTTCCTCTTGAATTTTTTGGAATAGTCTGAGGAGGATAGGTTTTAGTTCTTCTTTGAATCTTTGGTTAAACTTCCCTGTGAAGTCCAGATCAGGGCTTTTGTTTGCTGGAAGTATTTTTATTACTGTTTCAAATTCCTCCATAGTTATCGGCCTATTCATGTTTTTTTTTTTATTCTTCCTGATTGAGTTTTAGAAGCTTGTATTTTCCTAGGAATATGTCCATTTTATCTAGGTTGTCCAGTTTCTTGGAGTAGAGTTGTTCATAGTATTTTTTATAATCCTTTATATGTCTGTGGGGTTGGTTGTTACTTCACCTCTTTCATTTCTGATTTTGTTTATTTGGCCCTCCTTATCTCTTGTTATGACCTTCACTTTGAGGTCTATTTTGTCATATATAAGTATTGCTAACCCTGCTTTTTTTCTCATTTCCATTTGCCTGAAAATTTTTTTTTCTATCCCTTCACTATCAGTCTGTGTGAGTCCTTTGTTCTGAGGTGGGTCTCTTGAAGACAGAAATATATGAGTCATGTTTTCTTATCCATTCAGCTACCTTATGTCTTTTGATTGGAGCATTTAATCCATTTATGTTTAAGGTTATTATTGATAGGTACTTGGTTGTTGCCACTTTTGTTCTTTATGCCTGTGTTCCTTCTCCCTTTCTATTTCTTCTTTTTATTAAATATGCTAAATCTTTTAACAAGTGTCCATTTTCTTTATGGGGAAATTAAGCATATATAGCTACATCACTACATAACAAATAAAAATGATGGATGATGCACATTTTGTTAGAAAAAAAATCAGCACTAAGAGGAAGATTCATACTGGGGAGAGAACGTTGAAATAGAATCTATACATATTCTCAGGTAGGCATCAGTTCCAAACACAGACAGAGATAGAATGATTGGTTATTGAACGTCAGAGAAAGAAAAGGAGGTCCAGAAACTGGAGAACCAAATCTAGTGCCAGGTGTGTAACCATGGTTACTAAGGTTACTTAATGTTACCTTGACAAGAAAAAGCAAGACATCAGGAATCCAGTCACAATAGGAATATATGGTATGAAAATATTAGTAAAAAAAAAAATACACACACACACACACATACACACACCGTGTGTGTGTGTATATATACACATATGTATATATATTTATATATATGACTTGGAAATAGAAATTAGAATAGAATTATGGCTTGGAAAGTGGAGAAAAATGAAATTCTAGGAAAATCAATATTCTAAAATTAGCACAACTGCCGCTACCATCGCCCCTTCAGCCCTTTTGAAGATGTATGTTTATTGTAATATACACATTGTAATGCCTAGATTTTGATGCAGCTGTTTAGTTTACCAGCTTTACATGTCAACTGCACTAATCAGGACCAGGTACCTGCCACTAAACAAGACTTTCTCAGTATTTTTAAAAATTCAGAATCCTTTGCAGCAGTATTTTTCTCATTCTTTTATAACTAGTCAGGTTGAAGTAAAACCTACTTGACCCAGAAAAGTTTCAACATATACTGAGATAGAAGGAAGAGGGGTTGAGTTTGAGCAAGGTTTTAAAATTTAGATTGTTAGTAAAGATGATATTTGCAGTTGGATTTAGCTGAGGGTTACCTGGTCCAATGAAATCCAATAATGATTATATTTTATGTATTATACAGCTTTCATTGAAAAAGGAATTGTGCTTGTGGATGCTTTAAATCTCTTAGAGCATGAATGTGCTTCATATATTCATTCAGGGGCTTTAGAAGGAATAACATGAGGAAGTCTAGACAAAATAGAGCTAGGAGAGTGGTTCTGGAGAGAATCTGTTGTGTACTGTGGGCTAAGTGAGCTGAATGTTCTATATCCAGTAAAGTTTTCATAGGTGAAGAGAAGCAAGCCAGTGACATAGGCTGAGAATAGGAAAAGATTAAATCTAAAAAGAATAACCATGGTAACCATGGCACTAGGATGAATATACACACATAAGAGACTCCTACTTCTGTAAAGTTAAGCTAGCACAATGTTGAGCTAAGCTAGATAAGGTAGGTGAGGGGGGGCAAGAAGGACGTGGTCCAAGTTGTACTCCTTCCTGGGGGACCCACAGGCTGGCCA